TATTTTTCTGTTTCCTTCTAATCAGAACTATTTCCAAAAAATCTTAGTCTGAACTATATTTATAATGTTAATCCTGGAGTAAAATTAAATTTTACAGCTGAGGTAGAGGCTTAGAGAAATTGGCAAATTTGTTTACAATCAAACACAGCAAATGGTAGAGACAGGGCTTGAATCTGCCTTCCTTTGACTCAAAATTTCACTCATTAAACTGTGCCAAGGCAAGAACACTGGCTAAGTGATAGGAATCTATGTTTCTGTGCAAAATGTGCTTTTCACTTTTGTATTTCTCTTTCCTCTTTTCTTTCCCTTCTACTTCCTTCTTTCTCCCCTTCCCTTTCCTTCATCTTAGGGTTCGTTTTAGCTGTATTTACTATTTTATTCATATACCAGGCAGTGAGGTATGTGAATAACATACCAGGCACTGAGGTAGATGCTGGAAATTTAAAGATGACTATGTAGCAGATCCTACCCTATCTCACGGAGGCTGTGAACAGGTAAATGTGATAGAGATAATCCTTCTTTTTTGAATATTTACAGATATGACAGATTATACACCTTGTGTTACTGCAAGGGGCTTGCTGCTGAGTGGAAGTCTTGATACTATGGCTTTGAAATGCAGTATACATATATATATACATATATATGTTTATGTGTGTGTATACATACACATATATTAATATATTCATTGATTACTGCTTTCTATATGTCTGTTTCTTCAATTGTAGGGTGTTTTTGGTTTCTGTGGTATTCCCCATTGTTCTGACATCTGTTTTCTAGATAGTTCATCTTTGCTTTATTATGATTGTGTGACTTACTTTGGATTTGAATTTACTGAACTAGTTTATCTTTATTATCTCTCAGTCTTAGTTCTGATTTTCCAGGATAGTTCTTAAAGCTTCCTTAGTGTTCTTCTTTGTTATTCATGCTTATAACTTTTAACAGCAGTGTGTTTGACTTTCTGCAACTCATATTTCCTTTAAAATCTCTTTAAAGAAAGTTAATACTTGTTTGAAATTCTTGGCTCTGTGGATATCTTTTCCAGATTACTACCAACTTACTCATCTCTCCAGTGGTTCAGTATTTGTTCATTGAACCCATGTTTTCTTTTTGCCTTTGAAAGTTTGCATTTTTCTCTTTCATTTAGATGTCAATAGAGGGTGTTTATGAATTTGGGATGGATTTGCTAGAAAGAATCCCTTTAATCTGAACTCTGCCACCTGCCTGGAAGTTTTAGATAGATTCCCAACTCAGGGATCCTTAACTGAATTTTTTCCAGTGAAAGAGTAATACGTATTAACTGTAGATAAATTAGAACAAGTCTTTAAAAAAGTTTAGAGCATGAAATGAATGTCAGTCATAACCTTAGAACCCAGAAATAAACACTAAACATTTCCTAATGAGACTTAATATGCATGGCATTCTTTTTCACATCATTGGGACAATTTATTTATATCCTATATTTTCACAATCAAAATGATGTGAGATTTTTTTTTCTTGTTATTAAAACCTTTGCAAATATGCTCAATGATGGATATTCTATCATATGCATATAATTATTTAGCTAGTCTTATGTCATTGAACATTTAAGTTATTCCCAATGTTTGGTATTATAAGTAATAATGTAATTAATAAATCTGTTATACACTACTTTTTGTTCTTGTCTTGGATAATTTCCTTTGGAGGTGGAAATACTGAGTTCAAGGATATAAACATTTTCTCCCCTCTATTTATTGCAAAAATCATGTAAGCTGAGGGCAAATTACTCAATCAGGATAAGATGAAAACTAAGAGTCCAAGGCTATCACCTTCATTCTCTGTTTCTCAGTTCCTGGTCAACCACTAGCTGAAAATTTACTGTGCATATACCATTTTTTTCCCAAGCACAATTCTGATTATATTATATATACTGTTCTGAAATTTTTCTATTTCATTAACATTCTGGACATTTATCAGTCCAGATAAACTCATTCTTTGTAGGAGCTATGTGGTATTCCTTTGTCTGAATATGTCATAATTTATTGAAATGTTTCTGTATGATGGATATTTAGATTGCTTCTAATTTTGTTGGAGTTTTCATCATTGTACATATATAACTTGTTGGTTACATAATCAAAATAAAATTTTGCATGTAATTTCTGATATACAGTTGTTATGCAACTTGTAATTTTGATAAATACACCCAAGTTTTTCTGTACAAAGATTGTACTAATTTATGTTCCTGCCACAAATTTGTGATTGTTCCTTATATAGTTTTTGATAAAATTGATATTAAACTTTCTCATTTTTACCAAAATTATAATATGTAAATTAGTATATCCTTTTATTTTTGCTCCCATTTCATTTTGAGTAAAATTTACTTTTTTTTTTTTTTTTTGTGGGACCCTCGCTGGCGCTGCAGAGGCGCTCAACCGCTGCGCCACCAGGGGAGGCTCAAAATTTACATTTTATGTATATTAACCACTTGTATGTTTTTTCTGCCAACTGTCTATATCCATTCTTCCTTTACTGATTTTTTGGTGAGAATTTACAAAATCGATTTTTATAGTATGAAAATTATCTTGTCAAATGTGTTACAAATATTTTCCTTTAGTTTGTCATTTATCCTTTTGGCTTTTTCTGCTTGTTTTTAATTTCTGGAATAAAATTTACCAATTTTTTCCTTTATGGGACTAGGTGTGGTATTTCATATAATATTTCATATAGTATTTCATATAATTTCATATAATATATAATAGGTGTGGTAATTCATATAATAACTCTAAGATTATTATTTTAAATACACAAATTTCTGTCCAGAATTCTTACAGTTGTACTTTTAAACTTTTAAATCTGATTCACCTGGAACTTATTTGGCATAAAGAATGAGGTAAACCATATAGCTTTGTTTTCTTTTTAAAATAACAAATATCCACTAAAGTTTATATGGGTTTTTTCAAAGTTTATATGGAGTTTATTTTGATGCAGTTTTGTCAGTTCATTTCATTGTTTTACATTCTACATATGAGTGAAATCATCTGATACTTGTCTTTCTTCTTCTGACTTACTTTGTTTAGCAAAATCCCCTTCAGTTCCATTCACATAGTTGCAAATGGTACGATTGCATCTCCTTTTATAGCTGAGTAATACTCCATTGTGTAACTATATCACATCTTAATCCACTCCTCAGTCATTGTATACTTAGGTTATGTCTATAACTTGGCTATTGTAAAAAGTGCTACAATACATACATGTGCTTCTAGCACTTTAAATTAATGTTTTGCATCCTTCGCGTAGAGTCCTGGGAATGGAATTGCTAGATCATATGCTAGATCTATTTTTAATATTTTGAGGAAACTTCATCCTCTTTTCTAGAGGGACTAGACCATCTACATTCCCACCAACAGTATAGGAGGGTTCCTTTTTCTCCACACACTTATTAAATACATTGAACAAGTCAGGTATTGGGATTTACTCATTTAAAGAATTAACTATGCCAAATTCATTCTTCTGTACCACATACTGCTGGTAAGTAATATTAGGAATTGAGTAATATTAGGAATTCAGATAACCACTTATTTAAAAGAAAAAATCTTATTATCTAATCAAAAGATTAAGAGGGCTCTTTAAGGGCCAGTGATTGAACGGAAATGATGAATCACCATATTGTTTTAAAGCTTGCAGAGTCTTCTAGAAAAACACACCTAACTTAAATGCAGTTTCTTCAGGGTTGCAATGTAGTTTATATTAGCCAATGATTAAACAACACTTTAGTGTTCATGTTATAAACAGTTTAGATCTAGTAAAGCGCTTGAACTTTTCTATAAGTAGGATCCTACCCACCCCACCAAGGCCTCTTTGGAAAATACTTCCAAGAGTGAGCAGTCATTTCCTTTTCTCAATTTAGGAAACATGACTGAAGTCACCTGGGGTGCAACTGAGCATAGAAATGGCTCTTTACAGGGTTGACTTGAACTGAAGTAAAATAAAATGAGTTTCAGTCTCCAGATCCTTTTCCTCCTGAATTTGTAGGAAGAGAAGAGAACTTCAAAACAAAACACACAAAAAAAGCCTGTCCCTCTTGCAAAACTCAGTATTTGTTTCTTTTTCTCATACCTAGGTAAAAAGAAAAAAAAATGTTTAAAAATTTAATTTAAAAATTGTGCTAAAATATATATAACATAAATTTTGCCTCAAACCATTTTTAAGTATACAATACAGCAATATTAAACACACTTACATTGTTGGGCACCGTCATCACTATGCACTCCAGAACTTTTTCATCATCTCATTCTGTCTCTATGAATTAGTCTTGGTACCTCATGTAACTGCGATCATATAATATTTGTCCTTTTGAGTCTGAATTATTTCGCCTAGCAATGATTACACGGTTCATACACATTTTTGCATGTACCAGAATTTCTTTACTTTTCAAGATTGAATAATATTCCAGGCCTCCCAGGTGGCACAGGTGCTTGAGTACAGCACTGTGAACTGTGCCACTGCCGTTCGATCCCTAGTGGCTGTAGAGATACCCACATGGCACGGCAGACCTCTCCTGTCTCACCCATTGCTCCCCTCAGCAGTGTACTTCGGTCCATCTGCCTGTTCTGTTCCCTCCTCTGTCTCTGGTGAATCCTCTCACCCTCCCCAACATCTGGCCTGTACCCCGGTTCTTCTACACATGAGTAAATAAGTCTTAAAATAGATACATGTTTTTTATCCATTCATTCATTGACAGACATTTGGTTTGTTTCCACCTTTGGCGACTGTGAATAACTGTGCTGTGAACACTGGTGTACTTATCAAGTAATACCTTAAATGGCAAGGAACCCTGCCGCTTCATCCCATTTCTCCTCCTCTCTGCCCCTGCCCTATTGCATGTCTGCACCCCGCGGTATTGTAATTGCAGCGACATCAGCTTCACAGGTGTAAAGAGAATTTTTTTAACCCCCCTTTCACCTTTGCCCTTTATCCCTCCTCTGGACTTTGTCCAGTAGGTTTATTTATAAACCACGCAAAGTTCATTAACACAAGCAAGCATTTCAGCAAGCCACCTTTCCACCTTTGTTATTGAAGGAAGACACTCCTAAGGGAAAAAAAGCTCAGCCATGGAGGAGAAGAGTAACAAGCAAGACTCCATCGCAATGCGCGTGAAGGCATGCCGGACAAACAACGGGTTTGTCCAAAATGAAGACAACCTGGATATGGACCCTGGTCCGGGCAGCCCAGGGGACAGCCCGCAGCCCAGGGCGGTGGGCATCCTTGACCCCGGAGAGTCCGACTGGAAGGTCGTTCGGCCCTACGCGGGGATGCCCAAGGAGGTGCTGTTCCAGTTCTCGCGCCAGCCTCGCTACCGGGTGCCCCGCGAGGTCCTCTTCTGGCTCACTGTGGCTTCTGTGCTCACGCTCATCGCGGCCACCATAGCCATCATCGCCATCTCGCCCAAGTGCCTGGACTGGTGGCAGGCGGGGCCCATGTACCAGATCTACCCGCGATCTTTTAAAGACAGCAACGGCGATGGGAACGGAGATCTAAAAGGTACCGGGGGGGGGGGGGGGGGTTTTCAGGGTGATCATAGCTCTCTCAGTCCTTGAAACGCAACTCTGCCTAGGTTGTGGGGTAAGCACATTCTGTTTGGCTTGGTCAGGCCAAGATTCCCCTTGTTTATGGTATTTTTTTTTTTAAAGATTTATTTATTTATTTATACAAGCACTGGGTACAGTCAGAAGCGCGGGAGGGTGAGAGAATTCACCAGAGCCAGAGCGGGGAGCAGAGCAGGCAGAAGGACCGAAGTACACTGCTGAGGGGAGCAGCGGGCGGCAGGAGAGGTCTGCGCGCCATGTGGGACCCTCCGCTGGTGGCTGGGGAGCAGCCCGGGATCGAACCAGAGCCGCAGAGGCCGCGGGCAGGTTCGCAACCCAGCGCTCAACCGCTGCGCGACCAGGGAGGCCCTGTTTATGGTATTTTAAACCACACAGTCAAACGTAAAGTTAGTAAGTTTCCCATTTGAGGAAAGGTCACTTTACCACCAAAGAGTTGTTAAATTTACTGCGAGCTAAGTACATATGCTTGATTGGTCATCAGTTCTAACTTCTTACACGGGGCAGCTTCCCTCCTGCAATCTGTTTCCTGCCTCTGTGTACTTTATAGCTGATTATCTCCGAGTGACAGTTCAGAATTGCATTCTCAGTACATGCATTGGCTAGTTTGGAAATCTGGCTGAGACTTTCTCATTAGGGACTACAACTTAGATAGCACCTTTTAATTTCATTTTTATTATTTAATTAAGGTACCATTGGTTTTGCAGCACTGGGTATGATTTAGAACAGGTTCCCACCTCCTCAGATGTATGCCGCCACCCACACCCACCACCAAGGCACCCACAGTCCTTTACTCCAGACCTCTGGGCACGCCCCCACCCCCCATTTGTGCCCACCCTACTCTCCCTTCCCTTCTAGTAGCTTCAAATAGCATTTTAGGTAAAAATTGAGTGATGTTTTTAAAAGGTGTAGGCTGTGTTTTTCAAGTTTAAAACCTGAAAAACGAAGGAGGGGGGGAAAAGGCATAACTGTGTGATGGTCACTACTTGAATTAATGACCCCCCAAAAAGCATCCATAATGGTTAAAAATATAAGCAAAATTATTTTTTAATGTTAATAATTTCTTGTGGCTTATGTGTAGAATATCATTATAATTTATTGTCAACCAAGAATGTTATTAAAATTATGCCAGAGCAAGGATAATTTGGAGCTGCCCTGGACAATTTATTGATTTGGCCACCCTTAAGGGCAACAATAGGAAACACGCTATTTGTATTGATAATGCTATTTGGATTGAAGAAAATAAAACAGGTTGATATAATAGAGTATGGGAGCTGAGAATAAGATTAATCTAACTTTAAAATATTAGAAATAAACCTAAAATCTTCAACTCTCCTTAGTAAAATAATAGTAAATAAAAAACCCTAATAAAAGGAATTTCATTTTTGTTCCTATTATTTTCTTGTGTGCTGATTGCTTCTGTTGGGAGTACAGACCTGGAATCCCCTGTTTTCTTCCTGCATCTTCACTAATTGAAATACTATCTGTCCTCCAAGGTGCAGTTCAAACCCATTTCTTGCATTAATCCTTCTTTCCGCCCTATAATCCTCCCAGCCAGTGCATGCGCCCCGCCCCAGAGCGCCAGTGGTGTTTTGACTTGTGTGAATTGCCTTACTAGATCTTGGGTGATTCCCTTCCCCACATACCCCTGCATAGCCCTAGCTGGCACCCTGGCTTTTCACTTAGTAAGTGCCTAGCAAAACTTGACAGAACAGAGCTAAAATTAAAAAAAAAAAAATCACACTCCCTACTCCCTGGCCCTTCCTTTGTAATCTCCTGTATAGCCCCCAAATTCCTGTAAACAGGACAGAACTAATCAGCCTTTACATTTGTCATCTCTAATAACTTTTCCACGAGGAACTGGCTACTTCCAGAAACATTAGGTATTTGTTCTCAGGGTTGAGGGGATTTTGTTATTATTTGAAGGGACCATTCCAGCTTGCAGTTTGTGTTGCTGATTGCTTCTGTCCTAAGTACAGGCCTGGAATCCCTTGTTTTTCTTGTGTCTGTCGAGTCACTTTGTTTTTATCACCCTGTTTTTATGCTGTTCCTAAGGTGTATTGTTCTGACTTAAGTCAGAATCCTTTTGTGGTCTGTTGACATTCTGAGATCTCACCACCGCCCCTATGGGGGAACTGAGGGGTAGAGAGAGCCAAATAAGCAGTTTGTGATAGGGGAAGAGCCCGGATGCCAGGAACTGGGCAACTCTGTGCTTTGGTCTCCATGACCTCCAGCCGCCTGTGTGACCTCTGATTGCAGGAAGCCACATGGGGTTCTTAGGGGGAAAAGGAGATTGAACACTACACTCAGGTCTCTGAATCTGCATTTAGGACTCTGAACTAGAAGTCTCCCCACCCTCTCCACCCCCAACACACACAGACAGCAATTATCCTACAAGGTTCCAAGTACAAGTTTTCATTATTGTATCTCTTCTCAGTCAGGCCTAGAATTTTCTTCTATATTAATTCTTAGCTTCCTATATAAGCCAACAAGAAAAAATGTTCAAATCGAAGGGAGTGTGAATATTGGTTTAAACATCTTTTTCTCCTCATCACTCTCTCCTTCCCTGGCCCTGTACTCTGTGCAACTGTCCTGCCTACTTAGTTTTCTTTGCCTAGAAGTCCCTCTCTCTGACCTACCCTTGCCCACATCCTCCTGACCTTTCTATCACTGCCTTCTGGGCCATTGGCTTCTTCTGTCCTGCAGCCTTGGGCTGAGACCTTGCAGTGTGAAAATATTCTATACAGCATTTCAGAAGTTGCCAGCACTTCTGGAATCCCCCACCATCCCCTTCCTGCCTATATTTGCTTCCTAGACCAGCACTGGCCAAAGAAATAGAGTACAAACCACAGATATAATAGGAGCCACTTTAAAAAATGAAAAATAAACAGGTGAAATTAAATGTAATAATGTGTTGCTTAATCCAATATATCCAATATTTAATTTCAATATAAAATATTTATGAGCTGGGCCTCCCCTGGTGGCGCAGCGATTGAGCACTGGGCTGTGAGGCAGCCCGCAGCCTCTACAGTGCTGGTTCAATCCCTGGCTGCCATTGAGGGTCCCACATGGCGCGACAGACCTCTCCTGCCACGTCCTCTGCTCCCCTCAGCAGTGTATTTCGTCAGTCTGCCTGTTCTGTTCCCCACTCTGGCTCTGGTGAATTCTCTCACCCTCCCACGCTTCTGACTGTACCCAGTGCTTATATAAATAAAAATAAATAAATCTTTAAAAAAAAGAAATATTTATGAGCTAATTTACTTTTTTTTTTTTTTTTTGGTACTTCAAACGTCTGTGTGTGCTTTCTATTGACAGCAGTGCAGACTTTTCACATTGCAAGTGCTCCATAGCCACATGTGACAAGTGGCTCTTTACTGGTGGGTGCCCTTTAGACCAGCCGACCACAAGGGACCCATTTTTTTTGTGTTATTCTTTGTATCCTGGAACTTAGCCCAGTCCCTGGCCTTGATTGACTGTGCAGAAACCATGTGTAGAGTAAAACCTTGGTTGGTTTTAAATGTAAAATATGAACAAGCCACAGATAGTTTTTTTTAATGTTATGCATCTATGTTAAAAGTCAAAGTTTGTTGCTAAAAACTAATTGGATGTTTTTTGGTAGAACTAAACCTTGTTATTTGAATTTTATCAAATAGCAAAGTTCAAAAGGTTTCTGTCTCAAGCATTTCAATTTTAGGCATCATTATCTCATTATCTTATTTTAATCTCCTAACCAAAAACCAAACTTTATTTCTCATGGACTTGACTTTATCCCCTTAGGTATTCAGGATAAGCTGGACTACATCACAACTTTAAATATAAAAACTCTTTGGATCACTTCATTTTATAAATCACCCCTTAAAGATTTCCGACATGGCGTTGAAGATTTCCGAGAAATCGATCCCATTTTTGGAACTATGAAAGATTTTGAGAATCTAGTTGCAGCCATACACGATAAAGGTAAGTGAATGGAAGTGGGTGGAATGAGAGGAGGGTTTGAGAAAAACATTTCCCCAGATGTTTACTTAAAGCATTTTTCCTTAATTGTCACCCACTATTCTAACAATCTTTTCCTAACATTTGAAATGTTTTCACTCAGGTTTGAAATTAATCATTGATTTCATACCAAACCACACAAGTGACAAACATGCCTGGTTTCAGTTGAGTCGGAAGCAGGAAGGGAAATATGCCGATTATTATATCTGGCACAACTGTACCCTGGCAAATGGCATAGTCATACCACCCAACAACTGGGTAAGTAACAGCTTACCTGATTTACAAAGGGAAAATGGACAGGTATTCAGTGATTAAACAGTTATTTGTAAAGCCTTTTGAAGGAAAAAAATAATGGGTATAGTTTATAGGAAGGGAGAAATGCTTCCCAAGGAAATAGAAATAAGTACTCAAGTCTGCTAATGTTTGCATTTCTATTTTCATTGTACAGCTGATGTAGTCTAGCAGTTTAAAACCTATATTCTCTATTAATCGCTCCCTCTCTCCTTGCCTTCTTACTCTCTCCAGTTCAGATTCCATGTCCAATTAGTTCGGTAACTGTTTTGCTGCTCTTCAGAAACCTTTGCATTCTGACTTTTCGCCTCTCCCAATCAACACAACCCAAGCATCCACTTTCTCTGTGTGGGAACCTTGGTATGAGGCTCTGAAGACATCGCACAACCACTGTCCCCGCCTGAACTGAGCTATCCAATCTTCTTGGGAATTTCACTAAATCCAGCTGATCAACATGCCCTCCCTCTTCTTCAAACATCCTATCTGCCTCCTCTTATCACTCTTACAGCAAACTACTTTAAAGAGAGAACAGAAGCCATTGATTGAACCTGCTTGCCTTCATTCCCACCCTCTTCCTACTTCCGTCTTTTGCAACAGAGGGCCACGTGCCTCCTATCTGGGGTTACCCGATTTACAAATAAAAATCCAGGAAGCCCGGTGATTCTGAATTTTAGATAAACAAAGTATTTTTTTGTATAAAATATTGCAGGGACCATACTTATACTAAAAGCTGTTCATTGTTTTTTTTTTTTTTTTTTTTTTTTTAATAGAGGCATGTTTTTATTTATTTATTTGTTTGCTTGTTTTGTTTTGTTTTTGTTTATACATGCACTGGGTACAGTCAGAAGCGCGGGAGGGTGAGAGAATTCACCAGAGCCAGAGCGGGGAGCAGAGCAGGCAGAAGGACCGAAGTACACTGCTGAGGGGAGCAGCGGGCGGCAGGAGAGGTCTGCGCGCCATGCGGGACCCTCCTCCGGTGGCCGGGGAGCAGCCGGGGATTGAACCGGCGCTGCAGAGTCTGCGGGCAGCTTTGCAACCCAGAGCTCTACCGCTGCGCCACCGGGGAGGCCCATGTTCATTGTTTATCTAAAGACCAGATCTATCTGTGTGTTCTGTGTTTCACCTGGCAAGTCTGCTTGTGTCCTAGGACAGTTCTTGTACCTGCTTGGCTTCACGTTTTCTCCTGCTTGCTGCAGAGCCTTTTACTCTGTATCATCTTTCCTTTTCCAGTCTCTCCTCTCTTCTAGCCCTTCTCTATAAGCATTTAACAGGCTGGCTCCTGGGTCTGAACTTTTAGCTGACCCAAGAGCACTTAAAGTCAATGTGTCAAAGCTGACTGTGCTAACAGTCAGCCTAGTACTAACATGCAGCCAAGTAAACAGGTCATTGGCAATTCTTGGCAGTTTTACCTCTTTGATTTTTTATTTTTCCAAATAGACTCACTTCCTTAAATGATAAGATTAGCAAACATTTACTAAATGCAAATGTGTCAGCCTCTGTGCAAATGATTTAAATTTACTATTTAATCCTCCTACAATCATAGTTAGGTTTTCATTCTTGCTTTACAGCTGGGCAGGTTGAGGCAGGGAAATGTTAAGCACCTTATCCAAGGTCATGCTACTATTCAACAAAAGGCTAAGGATCGGATCCTGTCAATCCAACTCCATAGTCTGCTTTTAAAAACCACTGTTTGTGCTTCAAATTATATCATCTTGTGCCTCTAGGACTACAACAGCCAGATCTTTTGGCACCTGTCCTTCCTTCAGTTCTCCACTATAGCCAAGATTGTGGTTTTCAGAATACAATAGTTTATTCATACAGGGATATTTGTAATATATCATAGATTTATAAACACCCGGTGGTAGAACAATACAATGGAATACTACTCAACTGTAAAAAGGAATGAGCTCTTCCTTGCAACACCTTGGATGAATCTCAAAATAACTATGAGGTGTGGAAGAAGCCAGATAAAAGAGAATATACTATTGATTTCACTAATTTGTAGTGACAGGAAGCAGATTAGTGTAGTTTAGGGATGGGAAGGAGATGAAGAATGGGATAAAGTATTAAAAGATGGATATGTTTATTATTTTGACTGTGGTGAGAAGTTTGTCAGCCTATATACATATGTCCGAATTGATCAAATTGTATTCTTAAGTATGGACAGTCGAGTATATTCAATAATACTTGAATAAAACTATTTAAAATAAATGTAATATATATCTAAGCTAGGGAAGATAATAAATAATATAGTGAACATTAATAACCCATCCTCAAATTAAGGACTTATATATTGACCCACACTGTGAGCTCCTCTCTGTCCCCTGCTCCCCCTGCTCCATCTCAGAGGTAACCACTGCCTTGAATTATGGATTTTTCAAGTGTTTGATTTATGTTGTACTACAGTACATATGCTATATATATTGTAAAAATTATTTATTTCTCTTGTTTTGGACTTTATGAAAATTGTCCTGCTATAAGTAGTCTTTATAACTAGCTTTTTTTACTCATTGTGTTTTAATATTCATTCATGTAGTTTCTGTAATTGTGATTCATATATTTTCACTGTTGTATAATATTCCAGAGCATGAATATGCCATGATTTACTTATCCACTCTTCAGTTGATGGGCAGTTAACCTGTTTCTAGGTTTTTTTTTTTTTTTACTGTTACCAGCGATACTATTAATGAGAGTAAACCCTCATTAATTTATTACTCCTTGGGCACAAGGTGCACTAACTACTAACTTCTTACCCATGACTAATGACAGGAAGTGAAATTGCTGAGTACAGGAAACTGCATGCTTGACTCTACAACATAATGCCAATTGATTAGCAAAATGGTTGTACCAACTTATATCCCTCCAGCAGTATAAGAAAGAAATATTTTCATTAATTCTAGTACTACCAGACTTTGAGATTTTTGCCAAGTAAACATAAATTGTAATCATTTTGAGGTCTTAATTTTACTCATTACTAATGATGATTTATCTCATTATTAATGTTGTAATTATCTAATTACTAATGATGTTGAACATTTTTTCATATATTTATTCACTTGATTTTCTATTTTTGTGAAACGCCTACTTATGGTTTTTCTTTCCCTCATTTTCTTTTGAATTGTCCCATTGAAATTGATTGGTGGAGCTCTTTTTGTATTCTGGATACAAACCTTTTCTCAGTTACACATACTGTAAATATCTTACCCTGGTCAGTGTCTGGGTGGTCCAGGAGGTTCATGTGGTAAAGGTGTGTTTCCTCAAAAGACAGCAGCTACTACTTAGCTTCTGCCAGTTGTTGCCATGGGAATGTGGAGCTAGTATGACTAGGTCTTCTGACTAAATAGAAAAAGATTTATGTGTAGTGCCTCAGTTTTTAAATGTTGTCCAGATGCTCTCTTAACATTTACTGAAGGTAGTGCTGGGAGGAGTTCTCACATTTAAGATGACTGAAAAGGAGTTGTGGGAGATACAAGAAGGAAGCAGGAGAGTGATGTCATGAAGCCAAGGATGTGAACATTTTTAGAAAGATGAAAGCAGCTCCAGTGTCACATACTTGCTGGGGACCAAGATTTGAAGTTGCTAGGTTCCTTTATATCCCCAAGGGTTAGTCGTTTTTAAGAGAATGGCTCTAATGATTTTCTGAGGATATAATTTAAATATTCACCTTATCTGGATTCAAGTTCGAAGACCAATGGAATGTGTCATTTTCTCAGAGTGACCGCTCTTTATTTTTCTTCACAAGTGGGAGTTGAGTCTGGACAAAAGATTCAAGAAAATATGAGTCTGTTCCTTAAATCAGCCCTATTTTGAGTTTGAGAGCATTGATTTGCTATTGTGGTTGTTATAAATAACTTCTATACAAATACTTCACAACCCCTTTGTGGGGCATTAGGTCAGGGGGTGATATTCGAGGGAATTGATTTACCTAGTGTCCTCCCTAGAAGGAAAATTCTAGAGATTTTATCACTGACCTTATACGGGGTCAGTGAAAGCAATTTTCATTTCTTTGTCAGCAATACCATCATTTGAACAATGATAAGGAACTGCCTTTCTGTTTTCTGTGTGCTAGTTAAGTGTATACGGAGACTCCAGTTGGCACTTTGATGAAGTACGAAAACAATGCTATTTTCACCAATTTAAGAAAGAACAACCTGATTTAAATTTCCGCAATCCTGATGTTCAAGAAGAAATGAAAGTGAGTACAAAAACCCACACGAACTTCTTTATTATATGGATGCTTAAGTGGCTTTTTGATACACTTTATATTGAACAATAATTGTGTAGGCAAACCAAGAAGTACAATTAAATTCTGGGACTAAGGTGTTTGATACAAATATAGACACTCAGATGTGTTGGTGGCTCCTTTCTTCCTCTAACTCTGAATAATTGAAATGGGAGGGAGACAGAAACACCTGCTGCCTTAACTCCATCTTGCTGCTTTGTTGGTGACAATGAACTGGTGCGGTGAGGTGGGTCAGAACGTGGCCTGAGGGCCTGACTCCTGCGTCTGGACGCAGCCCCCACATTGACTGCCGTGGGCTTTGCATGAGTTATTTGGCTTTTCTGTGTCTAGGATGCTTCATTTGTGAAACACCATTTGATGGCAGTGTTTTTTCTCATGGGGCTGTTTGGAATGTTAATTGAGATAACCCAGGCACAACACTTTTTTGTATTCATTCAGTAGGTATATTAGGGGGAAAAGGATGTCCTAAAGCTAATTCCATACAGGCTTTGTGGACTCCACCCCCACCCCAGGCCAAAGCCAAAGACACTGGGAACTCCAAATCCCATCACCACCAAAGGGAAGGTGGCTGGGACCTGAGGGTGGGGTTAAGCAGCCAGGTTGGTATAAAGCCAGACACGTGGGCTTTGGGGGTTCCCCCATTTTGGCTCCCCGCCAGCTCGCAGTGTCAGGCCAGCTCTGAGAGTGACTTTGGGTTTCCAGGTCTTCGGATCGGGTAGGACGCATAAAAGACTTTATTTCCCTATTTTCTCCCTGAGTTGTACATTTTCCTTATTTCCTTTTCCCTTGTAAATAAACCTTTTATTAACCTTTTGTGTGTGTCTGTAGTGGAGTATTAATAAGTCCCTTTTAAGCGCGCGGGTGTGGACCCACAGCCAGGAACCCGTTCAATATCGGGGCTGCCCTATAACAGCTAGTCATTTATTGTCTGTTCTTTGCCAGGTCTTGTTCTAAGCACTGGGAAGGCAGCAGTGGATTTTTAACAGGGTGGTCCCCAGGAAAGGGGGAGGTTCCCTGCCCCACCCAAGGGAGGGTGGAGCTGAGCAGGAAGAGGAGAAGCTGCAGAAGAGACTGAGGAAGGAAGCTGGATGGAGCCAGGAGACCTGGAGGAGGGGCATGGAGCCTAGAGACACGTGAAGAAACTGTGCTTGTCTTTTGGTCGTAGACTGGGTGACACAGATGTGGGTGAGACCCATGGGGAGGTGACCATGGCAGCTTTTATCTTGATGTTGATTTTGCTCTTTTCCTTCCGGCCTTGTCTGGTTGTTTCTGGCCCTTTTCTGTGGGTCCCCACTGGAAGATGCTTTAGACTTGTGGCAGGCTTTGGGGCCTTGCTCTGGGCCGATCCCATATGGATGGAGTTTTACCCGCGAGGGGACAGGTAACTTTGGGTGCTTCATTTAGAAACTAGATTCTTTGCCTTACCTGTATTGTTTCCTAGTTTTATTAAAGTTCCTTCCCATTAAAGTCTCCTATGTTTTGTGTTGATGCGGCGGATGGCAGAACCCATTTAGAATAGGCAGGTTTGCGGGGTTTGGGCTGCTCCTCTCCCTGTCCTATAACAGATTAAAAAGAGCCCTGCCTTCAAGGAGTTTCTAGTATTTTGAGAAGAAGGCCAGCAATTGACGACCAAATGCCTGACATGTCAGGTGGTGATGAATGCCCTGGGCTGGGGGCCTAGGAGTGCTGGGTGGAAGTTAATGAGGTCCTGTTTGAACAAAGACCTGCATTTTGAAAGGGAGACATGTGACTCTGGGTAAGAGAATTTCAGGCAGAGAGAAGAGCAAATGCAAAGCTCTCAAGGGGAAGCGAGTGTTTCCTGTGTCAGGACCAATTGGAAGTTTGCTTCAGAGGGTTGCCTGAGATACACCATGTAACATGACACCCAGGTCTATTTTGATTTCAGACAATGCAGTATTGGAAACATACTTCCACTAAAAGACTGTTGGTTATTTCAAATGAAAAATTTAACTGGTTGTCCTGTCTTTTATCCATGCTATGGTAAAATGAGGGGAAAGAGGGCGCTGAGGTGCACAAGGGGGTGGGGCTGGTGCTCTTGGGCCTTGAATGCTGTTGTAAGGGATAGACTGAGTGCAGTGGCCACTCTGTGGGTCATGCACAAGAGATTTCCTGAAGTGACCAGGTCAGAGCTTTTGGGACTCGCAACTCTTAGCCGTTCTAAGAGTGCCTGGTATGGAATGCACAGTAAACATTAGCTGTGTTGTCCCCAATACTGCTGCTGTGACTATCATGGGCAGGGAATTTAGGTAAGTGGGGGTCATGCTCTAAGGTGGCTGGGAAGGGGCCTCAGGCAGAACAGAGCAGAGAGCTGTGGGTCCCCCCTCTAGCTCGCCCTGTCAACCTATGAAGCTGATGCGGGAGCCATATTGAATCATTCAGAGTACCTGCTGCCGTACTTTGTTCTTGTTTTGCTTTGAAGTAACAGCTTTATTGAGATAGACTTCATATGCCATAACATTCACCCCTTTCAAGTGTATAATTCAGTGGTTTTAGTATATTCATAGAGATGTGTGGCGCTCACCACTAATTTCAGAACATTTGTTCTCCCCAAGAAGAGTCAGTCTCTCTGTTCCCCTCCATTTCTCCACCTGGGAACCTGACAACCACTCATCTACTTTCTGCCTCTATGGCTATGCCTATACAGGACATTTCACATAAATATATATTTATATGTCTTGATATATATCTTATATTTATAATTTATATTTATTGGAGAATCTGCCAAACTGTTTTCCAAAGCAGCTTCACCATTTTACATTCCCAATAGCAATGTACAAGTGTTCTAATTTCTCCTCATCCTTATCAGTACTTGTTATTTTGTCTCTGTTTTTCATTACCATCATTCTAGTGGGCATGGAGTGATAACTCACTATGGTTTTGATTTGTATTTCTTTTTTTTTTGAAAGATTTATTTATTTATTTTTTTTTTTTTAAAGATTTATTTATTTATTTATATAAGCACTGGGTACAGTCAGAAGCGTGGGAGGGCGAGAAAATTCACCAGAGCCAGAGCAGGGAGCAGAACAGGCAGAAGGACCGAAGTACACTGCTGAGGGGAGCAGCGGGCGGCAGGAGAGGTCTACCCGCCATATGGGACCCTCACCCGGCAGCCGGGGATGGAACTGGCGCTGCAGAGGGTGCGGGCAGCTTCGCAGCCCAGTGCGCAACCGCTGCACCACCGGGGAGGCCCAAGATTTATTTATTTATGCATATAAGAACTGGGGTGCAGACCAGAGGTGTGGGGAGTGAGCGGATTCACCAGAGACAGAGTGTGGAGCAGAACAGGTAGATCTACTGAAATACACTCTGAGGAGAGCAGTGGGGGAGACAGGAGAGGTCTGCTGTGCCATGTGGGTAGCTCCCTGGCAGGACGGGGATTGAGCTTGTGCTGCAGAGGCTGTGGATAGCTTCATAGTGTGGTACTTAACCCCTTGCACCACCAGGGAGGCCCTGATTTGCATTTCTCTGATAGTTAAAGACATTGAACATCTTCTCATGTGCTTATAGTTTATATATCTTCCTTGGAGAAATATCTATTCAAATCTTTTGTCCATTTAAAAATTATGTTATTTGCCTTCTTAGTGTTGAATTTAAGTTATTTATATATTCTAGATACATGATTTGTAAATTAATTATCATCTATTCTGTGGATTATTTTTTTACTTTCTTGATGGTGCCTTTGAAGCATAAGCACTTTTGATTGTTATGAGCTCCAGTTTTTCTATCCTTCTCTTTTGCTGCTTGTGCTTTAGGTGTCATATTTATGAACCACTGCCTCATCTATAGCCATGAAGATTTACTCCTATGAAATCTTCCAAGTGTTTTATAGTTTCAGCTCTTATATTTAGGTCTTTGATCCATTTTATTGTTAATATTTGTGTACAGTATGAAGGGGCCCATATGTATACTGCACGCAGTATACAACTGGCTACCCAGTTGTCCCAGCAACATGTATTTTTAAAAAATTATTCTTTTTCATTAACTGAATTCTTTTGAAAATCAATTGATCTTAAATGTCAGGGTTTACTTCAATTCTGTACTATTGATTTATATATGTCTGTCTGTATACCAATACAACACTCTCTGGAAGTGTGAGTCCTACAACTTTCTTCTTTTTCAAGATTTTTTGGCTACTCTGAGTCCTTTGCATTTCCATGTGAATTTTAAGATCAGCTTGTGAATTTCTGCAAAGTAGTCAGCTGAGATTTTAATAGAAATTTCGTGGAATTTGTCATCAGTTTGGGGGAGTGTGGCCAACTTAACAACATTGTCTTCCAGTCCGTGAACACAGGATGGCTTTCCAGCCCATTTCTTTAGTTCTTTGATATCTTTCAACAATGTTTTGTTGTTTTCAGGATACAAGTCTAGACTTTTTAGTTTTAAGACTGTATTTATGCTGTGTGTTTGATGTTTTCCAGAATTTAGGTGAGTTGCTTTGGGATCTGTCCTAATAGGAAGCACCTTGTCAGTCAGAGCAGTCCAGCCTCAGTAGGGTCAGGGGGTGGGTAGGCGTGGTGGGCGTGCTGAGTTGACAAAATGGGGGTTAGTATTACCCTTCTCTGGTGGAGTGTGAACTCTCCTCTTCTCCATCACCAAAGATCATTTATGCACCCAAACCTTCCCCCCCACTTATTAGGCACTTACTCTGCACCAAGTGCTTTGCCTGGATCATCTCATTCCATGCCTACAACAAGCCTAACTTAGGAGATTTTATGGCCATTTTTCAGAAAAGAAAACTGAAATCCAGGAAAACTGTTTTTCTCTTTCCACTGCAAATTCATAAATGTGAGTATACACTGGTTGGTTTACCAGGCAGTGAATTTCTCCAGACTCTTTGTGCCAATAATGATGGATTATCTGGAGATGTTTAGACAAGTATGATAATTTTTGCCAAAGTATGCCAGTCAATACATTAATTAATTTTTGACTAA